TCGCTCTATCTTAATTGCCGCGTTCTAACGTGTGACAAAAAAAAAAAAGAAATGGGGAAACTCAGCTGCCGTGTGTTTAGCTCTCGGCAAATGTGGAATGTGAATACCTACAAATGTCCCGCGATTATGCGCCGAGAGAAAATTCGAGCGTGTCGGAATAGGTGTATCCCCGCGCCGCGAGATTAAATCTAACATGTAACTCAGCGTTGCGCATCGTGCTGCACGCGCGAAAGGCCTTTGTGAACCGGAGGCTGTTGATACCGAGAGCGAGGAACGAGAGAGAAGGAAGGCGAGAGATAAAAAGAAAAAGGAAAGAAGAGAAAGAGAGAGAGAAAAAGAGAGAGAAATTGAATATACCAGGGACCCCGGGAATACGGCCGCGCCGACGACGAGAGAGCCGAAGAGAAGGGCCGGCTACATTCTTAACTCTCCTCGCGTTAGCGCAATTGACTGCGACATAAAGTCATCTTCTACAGTAAAGGAAAATAGCGAGAGCCGCATTCCCTCCCCCTCCCTCTCCCGCGGGGAATAGCTTTACACGGCGCGGCGTATCAAAATGTATTCAAGGGTAAAAGTAGCTGTCCGGGGAAATACGTTTCCGCTTCGAGGACCGTTACGCGTATCGATCCAGAGCTCCGCAGTCTTTAATATACATTCACGGGGATTAATTATTTAATTTTGCATACATTTTTGTTCGCAAAAAGGGATCCGATTTTAGGCGGGCTGGCTGTGCAGTATTCAATGCTCCAGAATTTTAATATTTCATCAGAATTGCGTTATTTCGTCAGAATTTTAATTGGATGGATAATTGAAAAGACACTCATATTTAATAAGATAAATATTTCACGTTCGGTCACCGTACGAATACGTGCGTGTGTTGCAGTTTAATTTATATTTAATAACACGATATTTTCGGTGTTCTAATATCGCGTATAATAATGTTCCTGCGCTCATCGAGATGTTTTCCGAACAAAATTAGACTCCAGCTTCGTGGATGTAAAATATCCCATCGGAGAATTTTAGGTTGCGGAGCGACACTGGAATATGCCACAGGATATTCCGACGATTCGATGCCTCAATTTCAATCGGCAGGCTCTGCGGTTTTCTCATTCGGCCTACACGAGCTGCCTTTTACGGCTTGCGACTGCAATCGCTCGCGCTACCGAAACGCGCTTTATCGCGTACACGCCCACGTCCGCGTCTGGAGATATAACATGCAGGCGGTCAGTCAGTCATTTGGTCTGTGCACACACCCCTTCAGCTCATAGCGATTGTGATGTTTTTACCAGCATTTAACACCCTCTGGCGATTGCCAATCGCGCGGCATTATCGGAGGATTTATTAAAACTTCTCCCTCTCTCTATCTCTTTCTCTCTCTGCGGATCAGCTGTGTGTCTCGCTGAACGTGTACTCGTGTCAATTAAACACATATTTCATTCGCGGCTGATAATTCTAATTATTTAACGTTAATACCTCCGCGTTTATCAATATTAAGGTTAATATTTTTTAAAAATAGAAATACCACGATAACAAATATAATAACTGAGCTAGTATTTATCTCTCCCACCCGAGTTATTATAAATTTATTAATCTATATTTTAATATTTTGCATACAGTGTTAAATTTTATACGTTTATATCTCTTTATTATCAAGTATTGTGCCTTGATACATAATGTCACAGCACAAATGATAATTGCTTTCCGCATTCGGCTGGATTGCATTTTTTTTTTATTCAACGCAGATCCGCATCTGTTTCCACACATTGAGCGTTGAAGCGCAAAAATCGTTACGCACGTCGTTTTCGTGAATCGGAATCGTCCTCGGCATTGAATGAACCGTCCGAGGGACGTGCGTCTTGACAATCGATGCCAACGCGGACGCATCTTGACCGCTAAATCCGTCCGTGTTTGGGAGATTATAATTAGAATGGGAAGCCTCGCAAGGTCGAGCAACACGCCGCTCGGAACGTGTCAGCGGTTATTTACTGCGATCGCTCGTGCACCTTTTGCGTTTGATACGGACCGTAATTTTCGTTTAACACAGTAATGTCTCGTAAAATGCCTTCATTACTGCCTGAACTTGCGCGGTATTTTGTTTACAGTTGAAATGAGCTCTTGAATTTCTGAGCTGTACGAACCTCACTTACTTTCTTCACTCACATATTTACCCTTTTCATATTTTATTATATATACGCTACATTTATTTTTTTCTGTCGATCTTATTTTTCATATTAAACGATGCATTAAAAAAACCGTTAAGAAGAGAAGCTTAAATTTAATTAGAAGAATCATTTACAGAAAGAATAGTCGGAATTAATTAATTTCGTCTCTTCCACGTCGCTGGATTAAAAGGCTTAAATTAAGGGCGCGGATAATTATCGCGTAATTATCACGTGTGAATGACTACGCGCTTTTGTTTGCAAGATATCGCTTTTCGCGCCAATTAGACAATCACCTTGCGATAACGTCGGGCGGATTTACGCGCGCGATAAACCATATGGAAATGCTGCAGTTCGTAGAATGTGCGGCCGGGGTCCAATACTTGATGCTGATTCACTGCTTCATTCGCGTTTATCCGGTGCCCCTTCGTACGCTCGCTCTCGCGTTGCACTTTCATTCCGTAGCCCTCTCGTCGTGACTTCGATATTGCGGGATCATCGGTCGGTAGGGCGAGAGAGAGAGAAAGAGAGAGAGAGACATTAAAGGCGTGGGAAACTATCCGCGGCGAAAACGTTGCTTAACTCCCCGTCTTTTTCGCCGACGGTCAAATAAACGCCTCTCCCCGGGCGTATAGACAAGATGCTCGGCAAATTACGAACGAGCTACGATGCTAGTTACGAATATCGCGCAACAACACGCGTTGCAAACCGACGTGGTTATAAGTTTCAGCGCCACCGCGAATTGATGGGAATTCGTATTAAAATGTTACATAAATGTAAACTCGCTAATAAATTAAATACACGTATGGATTTATTATTAAATATGTATAGATTTTATTACGTTTCAATTTATTATATTATCATGTTTTATTTATATTTTATGCAGGATATCGAACATTTTTACCGCACTGTCGACTCTTGTGTAATTTATAATGGATTTTTCTTAAAAAAAAATAAAATAAAATAAATAACGCCTCCGAATCATCTAAGGATTTCTGCTCGATCAAGCGAGGCTTGAAAAAAATGATACGCTCTGCATCTTAATATACGCGCCCATAGCAACCGTGTATCAAATCCGTAACCGGCGAGTGGATCATCGTGTCAATAGTGGCACCGAATGTCATCACGTTTGGAACTGTACGGCAACGCGATTGTTGACCTTGCTATACGCGCGGTATCGCCGTCCTAGCCGTCCTCCTGACGTGGACCGGCTACTTTCGTTAATCAATCGCGATTGATGGACGTCGCGTAGATTGCCGTCGTTTACTTCGTGCAGAATTCGTCGTCGTCGTCGTCGTCGTCGTCGTCGTGATTGACCTTATCGTCGTGTTCGCTTCACGGCAGATTCGCGATACATTTGTCTCGAGTTTCATGCAGGTCAGAGTCACCGTCGGTGATCGATAAGCATCGGCTAAAAATTCCCATTTTTAGGCACAGGTATGACGAAGGAAGTTTCCGAAGTATCGAATTTTCAACTGTTCTTAGACGACCCGTATTTCAGGGTATAGAATATATCTTGATTTTACACATCGTAAAAATAAAATTTCAAATTGAAAAGAAATTTTACGTTACATACTTAATTTGGATACGCGCGTACAAAAAAAAAATATATATATATATATATATATATATATATGTTTTCCGTTGATTCGTTGTTTTTAAGTTTTCTGCGAGTTATCGGATGGGTTTATCAGTGTCAGGACCGGGGTCACGCCTGTACATTACAAATTTAACGGAATTGTATCGTGAACAAAAGATATTTAATTCTTCGGTTTATTGCAATTCTTCTTCCGCGCTTATCAAACGCGCTATTTGCCTTTTGCGATTAATTGCCGCGGCAAGCTATACGATCGTAATTAAAAATAGAGATCGCCGATCGTGGATTATTAAATCATTTAGATTTTGCTATACGCGTACGCCGATAAAGTGCGAAGCATTATAAAGAATGATGACGAGAATTATACGAATGCTGAATCATACGTGTTCTTTGAATCATCTTTGAATATCTGAATCATCCGTCAATTGTGTGTGTGTGAAAACGACAACTGGATATTCCGCGCGAAAAAACATGAACGCGTGAACATCTTTTTTAAAAACGACGTCGATGTATCTTGCGATCTGGAACAATTGAGAGATCGCTAGAACAATTAAAATCATCCCATTGCTCAAATCTGATTTTCTCTCCTTCGTTCTCGAGTCACTGATTGAAGCCGGTTGGTCCACTTCAGCCTTGACTTCAGCACAGTTGCATCCGCCTGCGTCGAGTCTTTTACTTGCAATGATACACTTTTCCGTTCGCATTAGAAGCACAGAATGCGTCGAGTCGAGATAAAAGGCGGTCGATGAATTCTAATTAATGACTTAATTACACTTAATGGGTTACGCTAGGCAACCGTAGTTTTGTTGTACTAGCGATTTGGAATTGATTCGCTTTTACCTCGCACTTTCACGTATATAATTTGCGGAACGTTTCCGTAAAAGTTATGTACGAACGGGAGATTATAGGGATACATTTCTACCGCGACTTTTGAAATCCGAGGCAAGGGGAAACGGACACGTGCGTTCGCGAGAGATTCTCACAATGCGATAGCGGTGTCGCCGGTTTGCGGATGGCTGTGAATCATACATATGTAAATTACTTTGTAATCTTATAAGGTGGAGGTCAGTGCCTCTCATTGTGGCTTGCTGCACGGGACGCGCTGTTTCGCACCATATCCGCATGTCATTTTCTCTCGAAATCGTGACAACACACATAGAGATCGATTTTCGCCTCTAGAAAATACTTCCAAGATCGACATGGACACGTCAGTAAAGTTGAACGTCTCTTCTCTTTCGTTTCAGATTTAATCCATTGCACCAATGAGCCGAACGTCTCCATACCGCAGCTCGCTAATCTCCTGATAGAACGTTCGCAGAACACAAACTGGACGGTAGTCTTTAAGGCCCTGATCACCGTGCATCACATGATGTGCTATGGCAACGAGGTAATTACCTTTCGGCCGCTCGTCTGACCCCTCCCTCCCCGCGAGACGTCGTCCCCCGTGCATCCTTCTGAAATGGCTTTTCTATTTACAGAGGTTCACGCAGTATCTCGCGTCCAGCAACAGCACGTTTCAGCTCAACAATTTCCTCGACAAGAGCGGCGTACAAGGTGATTATTTTGTAAATGATCGTATCAGTTCTGCGTTCCCCTCGGGATACCACAGTATGTCCCAGTATTGACGGACGCCAACGACACCAAGCATTATCCCTTTCGAAATTCGAAAGAATAATGTTACGTTATTCGTTGGCATCTCGTAAATTAAACAAAAAAAAAAAAGAATAATTACTCGTTAAAATAGGATATATTTACAAATAAATATAAGCAGTTTCTTAACATTTTTAAATGTTGTTTTACAAAGGATAATTATTCTTTTGCAATGAATAAGGTGCCCATTTTCCATCAGTTTTAAAGTGTCTTACTAAAAAAGGACTAATTTTTTAACAAAATTAAAAAATGCGATTAATCTGGGAAGATAAAACATTTATTTTACGTATTTAACAAAATGATTGCGAGCTCATCGCGGCACGATATACATATGCGCACGGCTTTTTTCCGCACTCTCGCCCACCAAAAACGTACACCGACATTTAGTCATCAGAAGACTCGTGTGCCGACAGTCGAGCGGACTGATTTGATATGCACGCGTCGCACGGAAAATTGCAACACCGCCGTAATTTGAATAGTCGATCGCGGACACCTCGATTCCACGAGAACTTGTTTACGGGAGACCTAATTTTATTCACCGATTGGAGATAGCGTGAAGCGCGTAATGTTGATCGAATGTGTAGCATCGATCGTGGCAGCAATCATTCACTTGCTTAAATAACTATTAGAAATTCGTTTAAACGATGCAAAAATCTCTCTGTTCCAATATCGCGAATTTTTTAAAAAGAGTTTCCGTGCTACTAATTTCCTCGCGTTGTGTAGCTATCATCCATATGGAAAATGCGAATCTTTCTCTTTTCCATGTATCTATGGCATCTATGTGTACGATTTACTAACCTGGACTAACTTTCTATCTCTTTGGGCATGAAGCAGGAATACGCGTGGGTGAGTTCTAATCACAAACGTCCTTCTCGTTTTGCATTAATGATATACTCTCTCATTAACGATGCTTTAGTAGTACTGTATATATGTTCAAAATTCTAACTTTGCGAGAGTAAAAGAAATTAATATACACGTTATATGGACCTAAATGTTAATCTATGTGTGTGTACCAATTGATGCGTACCGATAATTACACTCGGTGCAAATATTATAAACGTACGATCAGGCTTACGAGATGTTTGACAAAATTATAATTTCCAATCGGAAACGCTGGCATGCACGCTTGTGTAACTTTATGAAATTAATGCAATCGCACGCCGGCGCACCGCCGACTTTCTAATTTCACTTTTACGCATTGTTGCGTGGCGATGCCTATTAACGCTTTTGTTATTGTGTCTGCGGTATTTATTATGAACACAAGTGAGTAATTGTCGTTTCTGTTCCCGATCAGGATATGACATGTCGCCCTTCATCAGGCGCTACGCCAAGTATCTCAACGAGAAGGCTCTCTCCTACAGGACGGTAGCGTTCGACTTCTGCAAAGTGAAAAGGGGGTACGTATTGAGGACGTTTTATTTTTGTCTAGACATGTCTCGAAATGTTATCCAGTTGTTATTTTTAATGAGAGAAATTAAACCTTTGTTGCGTGACTTCGACATTGCAGGAAGGAAGACGGCACTCTACGCACAATGAACGCCGAGAAACTCCTGAAAACTTTGCCGGTACTGCAGTCGCAACTCGACGCACTGTTGGAATTTGATTGCACGGCTAACGACCTCACGAATGGCGTCATAAACATGGCCTTCATGCTCCTCTTTCGAGATCTTATCCGGTTATTCGCCTGCTATAATGACGGCATCATTAATCTGTTAGGTAACGTCCATTCAATATTCCTCTTTTCCTATCGCACAAATCAAACGCATATTCAAAGGATTCCATGAGAATGGATCAATTAATCGGACGGTTGCTATTTTAATCTTCCAGAGAAATATTTCGACATGAACAAGAAACAATGTCGGGACGCTTTAGATCTTTACAAGAAGTTCCTCATACGCATGGACAGGGTCGGGGAATTTCTGAAAGTCGCGGAAGTAAGTTTGCAATATCCGTATGTGAAAGCAACCAATGATGTTAAGGATGATTACTGAACGTATTTTCTTTTTCTTTACAGAACGTTGGCATCGATAAAGGAGACATACCAGATCTGACGAAGGTATGTGCGCTCAAAGTATAGTGTTCATTATCGCTGTCTCTCTATACTGTCTATAATAAGGGTTTGTTCAAATGACTATATTTAATTATCGGTTACCGTTTTGAGGAGCTATTAACAATGAGCGAAAAAAAATCATTAACCGATAAAGTAATATTTTAATTTGTTTCTTCCTCTTTACATTACTGACAGGTAATGACATCTCTGATTATTTTAACGAGGTAGAGTTAGTGTAGCCTAGTATAGAGCAGCATAGATAATTGGCGATATTTATTTCGGGAGACTTTGTGAGCCGATTATACCAGTTTCTTTATAATACCTTTTTTTTTACATGTACGCGTTTAAAAAAAGAAATATGAAGCTGACAAATTCTCCTAAATAAATGCATGCATTTTAGCGGGGAGAAATCTCTTCTAGACTAAATGCACAGCTAAATTTTATCTTGCACACTTCGTTGAATAAAAAAACTTTGATAACGCTCTATAGATAATGGACGAACTGATTATTTTTAGGCACCCAGTAGTTTATTGGACGCCTTAGAGCAACATCTCGCCTCCTTGGAAGGAAAGAAGGGCTCGGCCGCGAACACGCCAACGCAGTCAGCAAGGTATGACGACTTTTTCCATTTACTCGACTCATTTAAGTCTCACATAACAATCGATGTAGGGATAATTTTAAACGTCCTATGTTGAATGCTATTGAAATCGATATACTTCTCCCTCTCTATATACTTCCCAAGAGTCCATCGTTTTCGTCTCATTGTTCTTTCATTACCCGATAATCAAAGACACGTTCTTCTTACACATCTTTACAAGCTTCTTAAGATATGAGTACTTTAAACATTACGTTTATCGCACATGCACATGTAAGAATTATTACACAGGATTGCGTTCGTTTATTTCGAATACGAATAAGTTGATCATTGATTATTTTATTTTCATATAGAAACACGCTAAGTATCGTCATTTTTTCTTTTCTTAAGCAAAAAATATCACAAAAGGTTTTGGAAGATAGTCTTAAGCACACTATCTTTGAGAGGATTTTTATATTCTCTTTTTGAATAGTCATTCAACTTGTAAAATTTGAGATGGTATCCCCTGGATACAAGGTTAATTTTCTCTGATATTTAATATTTAGTTATAGAATGTTCGATTTGCGTTTGTATCCTGACCTATTTTAGGTATATCCATGCTATGCTCCTAAATTTGGTATTCAATTTTTATGTGTATATGTGTGTGCGTCTATTTCTCACTGAAAATCTGTAACTATAAATTATTGCGCTATATAATTTATCGCTCGTGTTATACTGCATGAATTTACGATGTGTTTAGATAATTGACTCCCTATAGTCTATTGATTATAGCGGATATTGAGCATGCTAAATGATAAATTGTCAATTAATACTGTTGACGATTTAATTTATATCGCCTAAAACTTGAGATGACGAATAACATTAATTGATGTGGCTACAATAGTGAAATTTGTTGGCTACAAAATGGCATTTATTATTCGTCGCAATAAATGTTTAATTCATCGAGGTACACAATCGGCGTTAAAATATCTCGAAATAGTGAGAACATTATGTAAAAAACTGCGTAACACGCGTTTTAATGCATATTCATTTGTACAGAAATCGCTTGTTATATCATGACGAATTTCAACACCACATAGTATGCCATCGAAAAATGAACAGTTCTTCAAATCAGTGTGTACTGTTGCAATACAATTTGATTGAGTACACAAGCTTGATGCTATGTTTCACTACAGAATGTAGAACACCTGTAAATGCATATGTGTATATTAGGTGATATAGTTGTAAAGAGTTGTAAAGGAGGAGCGCGAGAGCGTGCGAAAGAGAGGAGAGACTGTGCGTGTATGCGTGTGCGAAAGAGAGAAAGGATGCATGCGAGCGTGCGTGTGGTAATGCACACTATGCATTTCTAACGCATTGTTTACATCTATACGTACTACACCGTTTGTTTTTTGTTTTTTTGTTTGTCTCTTCTCCTTTGTTTTCAATTATCAATTTTCCTTTACGCTCCTTTCTCTCTCTCTCTCTCTCGCCACATTTTACGAACTCGCTGAAAAACGGAACCTTCCGTATTCTTCTTGTCCGTCCTCCTTTCTCCATCCATCGACAACCACAACATCCTATCATCGCCCAAAAGCAGCAATAGAACCAATGTAAAGTCGGGAGTGTCCGCCCTGTCTTCCACCAGTACCGCGTTCGGAACAGCAGCCAGCAATGCGCGGCTCGAGCAAACCGGGAACGGCCACATCGACGAGGCGTTGCGACAGCAAGCTCTCGCGGAAGAGGAAGCCGCCATGAATCAATACAAGGTACTAGCTCGCAAAGTATTGCTAATTCTAAGTTAAGATTAAGAAAAAGAAGTTTCGATCAATGGAAGAATTTAAGATTGCGATGCTATTATTGTCTTAACGCATTAATTTTCTATTTAACTTTTAAATATCTCAAGTGTATCCTTCCTTTCATTTCAATTTCTTCTTCCGTTCATTGCGATTTCTCTCGCACGAACGCGATTAATTCTCGATGTGTGTGTGTGTGTTGCAGGCAAAAGTACAGTCGCCGTCAAGCACTAGCACGAATCCGTTCCTCAGTTCGCCGACCAATAACGCTAATCAGCCGATCGTGGACTTGTTCGGTGCAACATCAGCCGATGGCCAGGTACGTCTATATATGCCTTTCATTTGACAAGAAACACGATTCTATCTTCTCGAGGGCTAATCAATCGTAACAACAGGCATCCCAAAAGGCGTCGGATGATCTACTGCAGCTGGCGGGCAATCCATTCGCGAACATATTCGGAGGGCAACCGGCCGCAGCAACCGCCGGGCAGCCCGCTCAGATGCAGAACAACATGTGGATGACCAACGGTACTGGTGAGCACGAGCACTTAACAATCGATATTTAGTCTCAGTGATCATCGCTGCTTCTCTCGTCACCGCGCTTGTTTATGATATTTTTCTCCTCTCCCTCCCCCTTTTTTATTTTTTCGTTTTCTTTTCATTTTTCCGTTTTTCTTTTTTCTTTTAGGTTTCGCGGCAACTGCGCCACCAGCAAATAATAACTTTGTTACAGATAATAGTTTTTCCTCCGTATTCGGAAATCAAGATCAGCAATCCAGTAAGTGCTCCATTAAAAGCGAAAAGTAGACACAAAATGGGGGGGGAGGGGGATTATTATTATACGAGCTCATTTACACATACACACACACGAGATTGAGAAATTCCGTGCACTTTTGTTTTCTTTTTCTTGCCGTCTTTACTTGTCTCTCTTCCTCTTTCTATCGTAGAACTTTTGCGGTCATTTTTATGATACTTTTGCATCATACATCTTTTATTTTGTATACTTAGTTCTTGCCTGAGCCAATCACATGTACCGTTTAACGCTATGGGCAAAAATGTACCGGATGAAGCAGCGTTTATAACTGCAAAATTATTTTTTTGCTATCACATATAACAATAGTGATAATTAATCTACTTTATTTCTGCAATTTCTTTTCCTATTGTGTTTATTAAGCGGTAAGCGCTGGTTATTCGATACATTCTCCGAGGCAACTCTTGCCTGCATCGTTGACGCGCGACGTTATAAGGGAATGCAACCGAGCGCTACATTACGTTAACACTGTATTCGAATGTTTCTTTTCTCTCTCTCTCTCTCTCTCTCTCTTTAACTAACGCATTAACGGGTAACGGGTATAACAATTGCGAGACATTTTACATTGTTACCTCGTCCGGACGCAAAAGAGGAGGAAGCTAACTTATGCACCTTGATCACTTTCTGCGCAAGCTGGCGCCCCAGGAGCGGCCGCGTCCGTACCTAATCCCTTCATGTCCGATTTCCCGTCCCTCGGTACCACCGGCGGCGTGCTCTTCGATCAGAACGCCGGCGGCGTTGTTGGCGGCGAATCGGGAGCGCAGGCGGCGCAGACGGGAACGGCGCCAGCCGGGGACCTGTTCAGTGCCGGGCAGACGGATCTCTTCGGTGGCGACGGGTCCGCCGCCGCTGCCGCGATGATGAGGACCCCCGCGAACGGCGGCGACGGGGATGTTGCGGCGGCCGAGGTGGTGGCGTCGGCGGCGCCTCCCGTCGCCGGCAAGACCTCGTCCACGGCTACGCCGCCACCTAGACCACCGCCACCCGCGACCGCCGTTGCTGCCGCGAACGGTGCCGCACCGCGTGCAATGTCTCCGTCCCACGGAGCGTCACATGGTAGGCCAGCGGCGGCGACGGCGCCAACGGCGGCAGCGGCCCCGGCCTCCTCCGCCGGCAAGAGCGCCTTCGACGATCTCAACGACAGTATCCGTATGGCACTGGGTGGGTCCCCGTCTCGGCCGGCACCCATGGTGCAGCAGCAACAAGCCGCGATGGCCGCACAACAACAGCCGCTGCAGCAACAAATGCCGCCGACTGCGGTGGCGGCGGGCGCCGGCATGTTTGGCATGAATGACCCCGCGACCGGGCAATCCATGATGGCCGGTGCGCCGATCGGCGGCTACGGTATCCCTACCCAAGCCCAAGTCCCCGTGGGGTACGGTTCGCCGGCAAAGCAGCCGATGTCAGGTGACGGGAATGCCTAAACTAATCCACGCTGATCGCATGCACAAGTCGCACTCGCTGTTTTCCCCCGCCCCGCCGAGTTCAAGTTTCTTTATTTCTCTTTTTTTCTCCTTTTCGCCCGGCTGCGTCGCGGTATCGCGTCTTAAACAACGTAAAAGTCCATGAGATATCTAGAAAACAAATTTTTGAAAGACACTCCTTAGGTATCTGTAAGATGTCTTTTGCATTTTTTTTTTATTGTCCAGGAAATTCTTTTTCAATTTATGTATATATTGCCTAATCAGCAAGTTGTATTAAATATTTATACTTAGACACATGAGAGTATTAAATAATTCTGATTAATTTTAGTATTTTCGAGTAGATAAGCATGCCTCTGTGTTATATATAACATTCTAGATATCGCAATCACTTACAGATAAAAATAGACGATTACATTCACTTTGCTTTAAGTATACACGTAAAACGCGATAACCTCTGATCGTTATTTCTTTTTCATGTATAATTTGCAATTCAATTTGCTTACAATAATCTGCATGTTCGTGACTAATACAATATACATAACTCTGTATTATTCTGTTCAGTGAATTTATAGCACGCTGCTGTAGAGATTTGGAATGGTGACTTTTCGGATCCTTTGAGATTAAATCCCTTCAATATCGTTATTTTTTTAAATCAGAAAATACATTGCTTGGCGATTACGCTTAATTCTATGAATTTGTAAATTTATGTAAACTTCATGATTTGCTGTAAATTTTTATTTTATATTTGAATTTTTGCTTGACGTAGATATCGCTTAGAAATTTTGAGACAGTGTGGTGCCGGTACGTCTACGAGTATCTTGAATTTAATGTCATTTCAGCCGCGGGGCAGCCGGTCGGTGCAGCCAACACTGGCAAGGTCCTGACCGGCGATTTGGACAGCAGCCTGGCTAGCCTTGCGCAAAACTTGACCATCAATAAGAGCGCGCAGCAGCAAGTCAAGTGAGTCTGATTACTGCTTTTATTTATGAGCAATTCCGTTTTCGAGCATTATGTAAACCTAGTTACGCGTAAATCTTTTTAAAAATGAATATATGTATAAGGATTATAATAATAGACATATAAATAATTTATGAGACGTTTCAAAACTGCACTTGTGCAACGAGCTTGTGCGCGACGAATTGACGGATATTTTTCTTTCGCAGAGGAATGCAATGGAACTCACCGAAGAACGCCGCGAAAACGGGCGGCCCAGCCGGCGGATGGTCACCGCAACCGATGGCAGCTACTACTGGTGCCGGATACCGGCCCATGGTGAGAGAGCCTTTTCCTTTTTCGTTGTCGTAAAGTATTTTCAGCATGTTTCTTCTAATTGTTCAGTACACAGAGAGACCACAAACACACATACACGTACTATTTTTGCATTATTTTCAAAGAACAATCGCTCCCTCGTTATACAACTTTCGGTTTATTCTCACACTTAAAAAAAAATTCACACCGTAGATAATTGACCGTTCCTTATCGTTCCGTCTCAATTTTATCACGTCGTAGAAATCTTACACGGACTAGTGAATTATTTTAGCTTGTTAGCGATCCGTTAAGCGTGTACGCCGTAGCGTACCCGTACCCTTCAGCTAGTACACGTTGAGACGTAAGTTTTACCGTTAAGCCACATCCCGTCCACCGTGGGACTCTCTTCTGCTCTCCTCGCTAATACCGTAACGACAATTTTCTCGTCAATTAGCATCGTTTAGGTGAGTGCGTTTTGCATGCACGGCATATGGCATGTTATCGGCTGTGTTGCAGGGCCAGGGAATGACGCAACTGCTACCTACGACCGCCACGACTATAGGTTTCCCCTCGCAGCCCGCGATAATGGTAAGTCCCCATGAGCGCTCTTTCGTTTCACGCGCGCAGCGAACGAGCTGTTTAACACGATAAAGCGCCAAACTCATCTCATCTCACCTCACCGGATCACGAGTCTTTCTCTCTATCTCTCTGTATAAGAATAGCGTGTTGATAACATGAATTGTCACTAACTCACTCTGTCAATAATGATAATCGTTGTACAAATCGTATAACGGTCTTTTGTATCACGAGACGAAGCGGCGAATCGTCGGGAGATGACAATCCGACGCCTCATACCGTTTCCTCGCATTATGTGCTTATGCATCGATATGTACTTTTAGCGCACGTTTCGAGAATGTAGTAGACAATACTTTATCGCAGTTGTTTATATTTTCACAGACCGGTTTTCAGATTTATTTCCCTGCGTACTTGGCTGTAATTTGCTTGAGGTGTTTAATCTATAGTGTAGACAACATAGATAAGTGTTAGAATTTTACACAAACGATTTACGTGATCGTGTATAAATATTTATTACATCAATGTGTACAGGTAACATATGTTAGAATAGATTAGGTTACACTATGTTTTCTGCGAGAAAAACGTTCGTGAATATAAAACAAAAAAGAATTAAGGAAAGGACTGGTCTTGTTTGAGAAAAAAAAAAAAGTTTTGTAGTATTTATTTTATCTTATAAAATACATACTTGTGGCGACATAATACGGTTCGAAACTAATTGGCAGCTGCCGTTGCTTTTAGAGTATTCCATAAGATAGGAGCTCTAAGTGTATAATTTTTCTTCTTTTCAGTCATCGTTTAAATTTTAATTGTTCACTGAAAAAAACTGTAAAATCAATCAGTCTCACCGTTATTTTGACGTTAAAAGAAAACGTTAAGTTTCGCAGGCACACGCTTCCTTTTGTACATACGTCTCATTTCTCTCGCTCTCTGGTGTCTGTAGGGTATGCAAGGTATGCCGATGGGCATGCAGGGTATGCAGGGTATGCAGGGTATGAGGCCGATGATGTGTACTATCCCAGGTGCTTCCGCCGCCGGTGGCGGTATGATGGTTGCGGGAGGAGCTGCGCCCATGATGGCCATACCCGGCGCGAATCCCATGGCTGGGCCTAATTTGCAGCAGCAGCCCCCTCAACCTCAGCCCGCTGCAGCAGCTCAGCCACAGGGCAATGCTGTCCAACTCGATCCCTTTGGTGCTCTGTGAAGGGATTAGGTACCTACCATCACTTAACATTCTGCGTGTCGTGACCATTGCCGAGGATTTCGTGGCGTAATAATAGAAAGAATCTCTGTGATAGGAACGCGTGCCGACTACAGGATACAATCCGCAATGCCATAATGGATAATATTCTCGTATTGAAATTGAATTTTTTCTTCCTTGCATATTTTATCGGGGATGACTTTGTATATGATTTGTTTAAACTCTGTTTAGGCGAGAATTGGATCCGTTGCTTTAATTTTGTTAATTGTATATCTTATTTCTGAAATTTTAACTTGTTGCATATTTTTTTTTTGTACAAGTGTATCTTTATATTTCAAATGATTTGAATGGGTGTCGCTCCGACACCGGGGGATTAATGTACAATAATCTTTGTGACTTATATATTTGTGATTAATAACAAGTGTCTTTTGTAACATTCAACTCTTCGAGATTTCCGAATTGTTAACCTTAAGGATAATCTATAATTCGGAACGAAATTTTATCTTCAATTTATGCGTTGAATCAATAAAGTATTGTTATTAGATATATACAGTAATTATGTTTTTCAAATTGCAAATTGATTATTAAATTTATTATCGTGGTATGCATTTCTATGTAAAAATAGACGTTGATATAATTTTCATTTTGAGTAAATGTTTTTTTTATGTTAAATTATATATACATAGGATTATATATTAAATTCTAATTGCAAATTATAGATTGTCTAAAATGGATTATACAATGAACGAAACCTGATTCCATGTTACTAATAATGCACACGTTCACCTTTTCTCTATCATTACGCAGCATAATCATCCATTTGATTGATGCTACTTGCAACAAAAAGTATATCATTCTAAGATTAATCATGTAAATATCGAATAGTGACTAGAAAAAAGTAGCTTAAGTTATTATTAAGTTAAATGATTTTTTTCTTTTTTTGATAAACATGTGACATTCCATCCTTGTACTAAAGCAGACTGTAAATGACTGTTCCAGGATTTCAAATGGAATTAAGAAGACGGAGCAACATATTTGTAAATACCGTGTAATATGCCTAGAAAGAAAAAGAAAGCTAATGTGTCCCGCTTTTTTCTGTTAGGCCCAATGAATCTTGGATCATTGTTTGTCACTCGAATCGTCTCACTATGAATAGGAGATTCGGCAAATTGTATCATACTTCCTGTAATATGCTCGCCGAGTGTGTAAACACGTGTTATATTCCGATACGGCGTTGCTTCCCACGAGCATTGGCAAAAGTTAAACGTTGTTTAAGTGAATATCTGTCTACTTTTTTATGCAAAAAAAAAAACAAGAAAAAGGGGACAAGTTGAGTCTGAATTAACTTCGATCGATGCTCGCGGGAATCGCGCGTAGAAGCCAGGGCGCTTTTTCTCCGCCTTGAAGTCCGTAGCCGGGTAATAATTATGTAGCTTAGATGAGAGTTGTTCGGAACGCGAATTGCGTTTAGAATTCAACGCGAACGCACGTTGAATTTTCCTGGTGAGGATTAACTGTGATAGTACTGCGCCGTGTGCCGCGCTGAACAGTTTTTCTTCGTTGATACGTCTGAGCAAGCCTATTGTCGAAGATGCATTTTCTAAGTTCGATGAAAGATTTCCGTAATTTACGTAGCGATATTTAGGTACGACTTAGTTCTTACATTGGGGTGGGCGAGGGGGAG